TCCGAGTGCTGAGATTACGGGCATGTGCCACCATACCTGGCTGAGGGTGATATTTTCTAACTTTTTGATCTCAGACGCTGTAAGATAGCTGGCATTGGAGCTGAAAAATCTGGCTTTCGATTTTGAGTATCTCAAATGCATAAAGTATCTCAAATGCATATTTATATTTGGGTAGCACATTTTGTGTGTAGTGATCCTCATAAACTAATACAAATTTAAAGTTTCCTGTGTAAAATAATCACCAAATTAAGAGAGAAAATATTGAAAGGCACTAATGTGGTAGAATACATATGTGATGAATTATATATATATTCATCCAGAGTGTTTCTGTTGGATGCAAAAGAAATGTGAGCAATCATAAGCATTAACACATTTATAAAGTTGAGATATTTTACTATTTTTTTAGATTTTCTTTCCCCAGGGCTAAGCACCCTTGAAAGGCCAAATCCGGGGCCAGGAAAGTTAAAGTATATGTCATTCGAACTCTTCTATATCTCATACCCAGTAAGATCAATTATCAGAATATGTGGAGGTACAACCCTATCAGAAATCGAGTGAAATTGTATAGCATCACTGTTTCATATAATTTTAAAGTATAAAACCATTTGGGACAGTGATTCTCAAAGTGTCATCCCTACAACCAATGCTATTAGCATCACCTTGGAACTTGTTATAAATGTAAATTCTCAGACCCTACTCAAATATACTGAATGAGAAATTCTGGGGGAGATGCCTTCATGTAAAATTTAATAAATCCTCCAAGTGTGTCTGATGCAAACTGCATTTTGGACTCAAGCACCTTAAGTAAATGTGAGTAAAAACTTAAAGTGATGCTAGTCTAAGAAGTCTTTTGGAGTCCATAGTGAAAAGGTAAGATCATATGCTGAGAAAAAGAGCAGCTGAAAAATCATTTGGAAACACCCAGAATAAAAACCGACTCAGCTAACTGCAAGGAATAAGAGATTATGAGTAAAAGCAGCAATGGGATTACTCTGGGCTGCACCCAGCATGACAGTAAACCTTACAGAAATACTGGAGCAGCAACAGGATTGTGGGGCTGATCATCATAGTTATCATCATCAGCATCATCATTATCATCATTATTTATTAGGCAAGAACACACGATCTCCAGACATCAGGCTAGGTGATCGTTGAATTTAATCCTTATAATAAATTTAGCAGGATTTAAATGTTTAAATTTTTATCTATAGCTCACATACGACAAAGCTGAACACTGAAAAGAGTAAGTGACTTACCCCAAAGTTTATTTAGATAGGATGAAGGATAAGTGAGATTGGAATCAGGCAGCATGACTACAAAGATCAGTCTCTTAGGCCCTGTTTTTAGTTATTCTCATAGCATCTTTGAACTATGAGGGGCTCTGCCATTAGCTAGTGAAAGAAAGTAGAGTGTTCTTTAAAGTATTTGTTAAGCAACCTGGATATGGTGGCACATGCCTATAAGACCAGCACTAGAGAGCCAAAGGAAGGACAATCACTGTGAGGTGAGTCAGAGGCCTGGGTTACATAGTGAGTTCAAATCCAGCCTGTACTGCATAAGAAGATCCTGTCTGGTGAGAGCGGGAGAGGCAGAGACAGAGAAAGAGAGGGAGAGAGAGAGAGAGAGAGAAATCCTCAAAAATCATGGAGCATGACCAAGGCAGGGCACAAAATATCCAAAAGGCCTTTATACTCTGCTGCTCTGAAGTAGGGCAAAGAGGATGTCAAGCCATGCCGAGACGCAGAATCTTGATGTGGTGAAAACCATGTAGATGTGAAGCACTGCGTAAAACTCAGGGAAAAGAACATGAAGGGATAGGATCCCGGACAACCACAAAGCTGAGTGTCATACATAGGGATGGTTCAGCCGTCTGGTGAAAGAAATCAAATTATTCTAGGCAGTTAAGTCAGATAATACAGTCAGAGAGGGATTGGGTTTCCAAGCAAGTCAGTGAAAGGTGAATACTTCAAAATTGTTGCTAGAAGCACATTTGAAGGGAAGGCCTTGAGATTAAAATCACAATGGCCAGACTTGCATATTTCCCCAAGGAATGAGTGCAAATTTGAGCTTATATTGTAATTGGTACCACTTTGTCTACCTGGGTAGGTGACTACAACACCTGGTCCCATCCCTTTACCAAAACATTCCTGCTTTTGAAGTCAGTCTTAGGACTGACTTAGGTCAAGGTTAACAACATCATCTATCTGTCTTTGCTACCTGCCCCACTTCCCTACTGCATCATTATTAGCTAACCCGCTATACTTGCAATCTTACTGGTTGGTTATAGTTTGACTCACTTTGTATCCATCTTGTGATTTTGCCCTATGAAACATTCTTGAAGAAATAACCTCATTGGAAACCTACTTTGTACCCCCCTCCTGTCTCTCAAGAGCTATTCCTAGTCCTCAATAAACTTTTCCTACTCTTAACCTCCTTCATTCTTTGGAATTCATTCTTTAATCCTGAGAAACATGAACTCCATGCATCTGATGTCCTGCAGGTTGAGAGTTATATCTCTCTTGTACCAAAATGTTTGGATGCACATAATTGTCCAAAAGACCCCCTAGATGACTCAGACCCAAGGAAGAGACAATCTTTTATTCATCCCCCAAGTATGTACAGGCCTTTTGGCTCATTGTCTCTTTGAAGGCAATAAGATTAAGAAGAAAATAGTAATACTTTGAATCAGACAGACAGGGATTTGAAACCCTGTCCCAAGCCTAGAGGGGAGCCCTGGACAAATTCCTTATTCTCTTTGAACTGTAAGCTTTTTCATACATATGATGAAATTATTTACATCTATATAGTAGCACATATTAGAATTAAACAAAACAATAAATAATCAGAACTTGGCAATTGTGTTGGCTTTTTTCCATCACCATGATATTAAGTTAAATATCAGTCAAACTGCCATGGTCTGAGTTCTGATTCTAACCTTTTGGGATGGCCAGGTTTGTCATTTAAAAGTCTACAAATGAATAAGAAAACAAACAAACAAAAAAAGCAAAACAGACTTTGGTGGTAAGTGCTCAGACTTAAACATAAAACTTTGAAGTAGTCCTCAAAGTAAAAAAAAAAAAAAATCCATTTCAGGAGAAAGTGCTTCAAATGTGATTCTGGATCCTCTCAGCTCTCAACTACTCCTTGAACTCTTCGTGTGACCTCGTGGAAATAATGTCAATTTAATGATCTTCTTTCTCTCATTCTTCCTCTCACCAGTGAATAGATTATCTGAATTTATTTAGTGTAGAACAACACAAAACATCTATTGTAGTCTCTGGGAGCCTTCTGATGACAATAAAAGCATTCAAGGTACTAAGATTATGTAGAAATCTTACAACCAACCAGATTTGTCTTCACATAAAAATATACTATAAAGAAACATATGAATAAAATATATCAAAAATCAAAGGACAAAATTCCCATTATAACCTCAATAACTGAGCATTAAGCAAATTATATTCTTTTGTTTGTTTGTTTGTTTTTGTTTTTTTTTTTTCCAGTACCGGGAATCAAACTCACTGCCTTGCGTTTGCCAGGCAGGCACTGTGCTGCTGAGCTAAATCCCCAGCCCCAAGCAAATTATATTCTAAAAAGCCTTACCTACACAAGTTATCACTTCTCATTATTCCATAGAATCAGGTAGAAATTCTCCCTGTTTCTAAGTAGGAGAGTGTGTGTGTGTGTGTGAGTGTGTGTGTTTGTGAGTGTACATGTTTTGAATGTGCTGATAATTTAATTCCTTAATATATTTACATATTTCTACTTATATTTATGTTACGTATTTATCTATTTATATTAAATGAGTTACCTGAGATTTAAAGACTAACATCTCTCCTTATAGAGTTCAAGCATTCTCCGCTAAACGGCAAGGAAAGCACGTTCTGCTTTGGCTGTGATTAGAACTCTACAAATCAGTAGACATGCATTTTATAAGAAATAAAATGAAGCTGTCAGCCATTGCAAATGTACCAAGATAGAGGTCACATGACTGAACTACACTGGCACCAGAGAGTCTCTGATGTATTTTATTCCAGTTTCAATCTATTAATCAGAGAATCTCGGAGAGCAATAATTTAAATGTGGCAATAATCAATTCCATAACAGATTAATAGAAGCTACAGTGAAACTTTGCCACACCACTGACTGCACTAGAATCCTGACAGGAGCCCTAGGGCCATGCCTAATTTGCATTAAATTTACATAAAATTATAAATCAAGACTACACGAACACAGCCCTAATATTTGTTAGTGCTTAGATCTTTCCTGATAGATGGACTGAAACTGCTGTTGGTTTGACTTTGCTTGCAGTAAAACTGTGCAGCTGATCAGCTTTGTTTTCATTCTGCAACTATGGGGAAAGGGACCCAAGAGAAGTATAGTCTGGGGGCATTTCTATGAGTTTTGGGGTTTCCACTCTGTAAAACCATGACTCAGATGTGACTTTGGAAACCCTCAAGGAGAAACAATTTGTCCCTAATGACTATACAGATTCACGACACTGGACATAAGTATGTTGTTTATTGATTGAAGAGACAAACTATACAGAAGTATGGACAGCTAAGAAGATATCCCAGCCTCTGGAATTTTTATTTTCCCAAAAGACTTCAGCTGTGATAAAAACAGAGAAGTATTCATTGTCTTTAGGACAAGAGCAGATACAACCAAGCTTTCTTAAATTCAGCAAATTGCCCTAGTAGTTTAGTAATGTGAGAGTCCTATGGGTCTAAGCACTCTATGTGTTCTTGTTTCCATTTTCAAACTCAAGACCTAGAACACAACATTCTGACTGAAGCACTGGCTCATCATGGCAAGGATGCTCGATCTACTCAGTTGTCTCATTTTAAGTCTATATTCTAAAAGGAAAATAGATACTTAAGTGCAATAATCTATTCTGAAGCCTCTTTTTCAGAAAGGATCTTGCACATATTTCCTATATTGTGATTCCTCTTGACCTCCATCTGTCACCTTAGTATGCACTTATCCCACCTTTTTCTTACCTTGTACGATCAAGTAAACTTGGGAGGTCTTGGGCTCGTGCTGTGTCTGAACCGAGCATGTGTAGGAACCCTCATCATACACATCCACTTTCTGGATTCGGAGGCTGTATTCCAGAGAGTGGCGTTTCTCCAGCTCAACTCGGGGGTCCAGAGACCATTTGTCATGGCCAGCGAAAATGATGCCAGAACGGTTCAACCAGGCCACCTTCGAGTTCTTGTCTTCTACAACGCATCTGATAGAGCAGAGGAATAACGTTAGTGCTTTCACCATAACTGCACATGCCTTCATTCTCCACAGGGCTGGACTCATCAAGCCCAATCAAGAAGAATAATTATATGCATAATGAATTATTACTGTGATATTTCTTGGAGTCCTAAGTATGTTCACTATTTCCTTTGTGATCTAATGGATGAATGTCATTATATTAGATTCGGTTCCATAATAAACAATCTGAGTATGAGTAATACAGGCCAATAAAGTAAATGAGTGCTGACCTCCAAATCGATTATCTTCTTGTTTAAGCAAAGGTCATTCACATAGAATTTCATCAGTGTAAGTATTTTTCCACAGTTATACAATTGATACTGTGGGTTGCTTAGTCCATCTTGAACCCAAATTTTCTTTCATTAATATTTCCTATCATTTTGTATGATGATAGGTTTAAGTTTTGCTCCACAGTTGTAGGAATTAGAGAAAATCTGAGAGTTCACTTTGTACACTGAAGATGTTAGAAGGGCCGTTCCCAGGAACGAGAAGTGTGTGAGCTAGAGCAAGCATAAATGGATAGGTGTGGCATCAAGGAAGTCAAAGCAAACACCCTCTGGCATAAGTTTTATTCCAACTACTGACGGCAGCAGGTTGCCTGATGGCATGATCGCTAACTAGCAGCACTTCTGGTTATACGGAATGAGTGCGATATTTCAAGAGAGATGAAAAAATAAATTTTATAGTTCATATTTCAAAGAATATAAAGGACAAATGCTTGTTTAAATGACTATTTTTTTTTTTAGAAATCCAAAATGCTCTCTTTCTGAAACTGGAAAGAGGGATAAAGAACTAGATCAGTGAAGAACTTCATGCTTCACAGTGAATGCGTTTTTTTTTCCTTGAAATTTTTAGCTAAGAATCTGCAATGAAGAAATAAAGCAAAACTATAAATAAATAAATAAATAAATAAATAAATAAATAAATAAATCCATTCACCCCACCTTCTCTGTGCATTTCTTTGGCAAGACTTTCATCTGCCTCACAGGAGAATAGTTTCAGAACCTGCTCACAGCTGCAGAGACAGCTGCTCTGTACTCTGGGGCATAAGGGACAGGAAGAGTTGGGAGTACAACAGTAGAGCAATTAAAACCATGTTGTCCTTTATTTTCTAAACAGAGTCAAAGCCAGGTTTTTCTCTCAGGTCAAAACAGTTCGGCAGAGAGATTTCACACCTATACACAGAAAAGAAGCTGATAGAAAACCCACACGCTGTCCATAGAGGGATATAAAAGTGAACTCATCTCTCTCATAAGAAGCAGAAAAGTTGAATCCTTTTAAATGCCTCATCTGAGGTACAGAGACCTCCGTATTCAATTATTTTTAGGTGAATCAGGTAGTCCTTTGGAGTGAGAATTTGACTGAAATTGGGTGTCAAGGCACTGCAACTAGAAGTCATGTTATTTACTTTTCTTCTTTCCCTATTTGTTCTCATAAATATAGCCAGATATAGGTATAATTTAGTGTCCCCATTTCCCAGTGTGTGCTTTTCTACCATACAGATGCTACTGGGAATAATTTCTATGTGGGCTTGATAATTTAAAAAGCTTCTCTATGACAAGCACAAGCTTACTTAATGGATGCGCGCTGCTTCTTGCCAGAATTCATTTGAATTTTTTTTTAACTTTTGTGTAGCATCCCTTGTCTGTCCTTGGTGATGATATTCACACCTCCTCTGAAATTAGAGTCGGTTAGAGTTAAATTAACAGGCTGTTTGCTGTCTTATTCTAGACCAACAATGAAACTGTGCAATGTACACTCAAAATATTTTCTTTTTTACTGAGAAAAATTAAAATTTCCCTATGTAAATGTACTTCCTCTTTACCATGTCTCCCCTTGTACTTTTCTCAGCTGCACAGCTCAGCACAATAATAGCCACATTTGCTAAGTCACAGAGAATTACTCTGAATCTCCTTTAGCCCAAAACATTACTCTACTCTGTCCATTCTGAAAGCATAAGGGCTGGGGATATAGCTCAGTGGCATAAGCGTTTGCCTGGCAAGCTTGAGGTCATGAGTTTGGTTCCTGGTACCAAAAAAGAAAAAAAAAAAGAAAAGAAAAAGCATATCAGTTTATACATTAAACAAAGATGGATTTTGCCCCATTCATTTGGTCATCTCCAAAAACTAACTTTGAATAAAATCAGCACATAGGAAATGTCTGTCATGTAAATTAACAAGGCCATACATTTAGACACAGGATGTATGGTTTCTTATCTTCCCTGGCCTCATCCTAAACAGCACTCATGAAAAAATTCAGAAATATCCCTCCTTTCCATGACAAGGTAAAGTTTTAAGTCAGGTCTGTAGGGCCCTTTTCCATTTTGGCATCTTTCATCTGTAGCAAAATTGAAATCACCTGTATTACTATTCTAAGTTATCCTCTGAGAATATTAATATCTATGTGACATAAAGAAGTAGTTGAAGAAGTAAAGAAGTAATTTTGCTAATTGGCTATCAGCAACATTGCCAGACCCATAAAAATGAATCCACTGAAAAGATGCACTGTGTGGAAATTTTGTCATGATGATCTATATAACTCTTAATTTTACTTTGGGTTTCATCTCTATTTAGTTTTTAAATTTATCTTCTAAATACACACAAGTGAAAAGTATGTAGTAATATATACATACACATTTTTTATTGACTCAGATGGTTGGTAAACTTCAAGCCACAAAGCAAAATATAGTACTTTTTAAAAAGAAATCTTTCAGAGTTTTTTGCTTTATAGTCAAAAGTTCCAAATCTTTCAGAGTTCTTTGCTCTACAGTCAAAAGTTCAAAAATAAATGTACTGACCCTATAAACTACAGAACAATCTTTCTGCAATGTTACTAATACATTCCTAATGAAAAATTAGTAAAGGAATAACACAATTTCAGAACTTGAAAATTTCTTTTTCAAATTCTGATTTAAGGCAATAACTATTTGTATTACAAAAGATACAGATAAAAAAGGATGGAAAGAGCCAAATTAATAGTCTCAGTTTATAGAACTATGCTTATTAAATGACAATAACCATCACACAGGAAAATTACAGACCACCTGAGTATACTAAATGAGAAATACTGATATAAAGATCCAGGTTCCTAACATTCTGAGAGAGCTTGCATCTAAGAGGAAATTAGCTTGACCATGTGATAGGTATGCCTGTAGAGTAGCTGAGCATGCTAGGGTCATGTCATCCATACTATTGATAGTATTGAATGCTCTTCCACTTAGAATGGTGCTTTAGTACTGCACTTTGTGGTTGAAAATTGTGTATCTTGGATTGGAGATATAGCTCAGTGGCATAAGTGCTTGCATGGCAAGTGCAAGGTCCTTAGTTTGATTCCTGATGCAAACAAAAAAACAAAATTGTGTATAGTGAGAGTTTATCTCCAATACTCAGCCTGTTTAAGTCAGGTAAATGTAGATAGATATACTGAAAACTATTTTACTGTTGTATGTTGCTTGAATTATTTGAGATTTAGAAAGGGCTGAACCTAAACAGAGTGAATATTTGTGTCAAATGACAGGGTCAGAAAATATCCCTTCAGTTTGGGTGGGATTTGCAGCAGCATATAGGGGATATACTACTATAATATAGTACTACTATAACAGAGAAGTAACTCTCCAGAAATCTTTTTGTGTCAGAAACATATCATTTTACTTGGTTCCTTTAGATAAACTCATCAGACTCAACATTGCATTAAAGTTACTTGCATTCATTTTTACTCATGAGATTATTAAAGACAGTGACATTATTGTAAGTTACCCAGGAGCCCTCACTGAGCCTAGCGGCATAAACACCATGTTTGCAGTAACACTAAAATGTGAAATAAATAAAGTGAATTTCATTTATCAAGTTGTTATTAGGTCATCTATTAAATCTTTATTAATTTTTTTTAGGTAAGGAATAAATTAGCAAGTACTTTAATATTCCTTAAAATTCACTAAAAATATCTGACAGAAAGCAAAACTTATACATAATTATTGGGTTATAGTACAAGGTAAAGATAATTATTGGATTATAGTAGAAAAATGAAATGGAGAGAAGAAAGAATATGCTGTTTTTGCTTCAAAGAAAGATCACTTCTGTGCTCTAAATAATCTAAGTTGCATTAAAACAATATGAAGAAAAGTATAAAGAATTGAATAAGTGTTGAAGAATTTGTTGATTTGAACTATGAACCATTAAATATCAGAATGTTATTTACCTTAACTATACAACTATGATTTTACAAAATCAGCTTCAAAAATAACAGGAAATATTAGCAAGCAAACTTTTATCTTCCCTCCTCAGTGTATCCAAATCCATAAAAGTGATGTGAAAAGTCAATGCACTCATAAAATTTTCAAGCATTGGATCTCTGCAAATGCTTTACACCAAGCATGTTATGCACACTTACATGAACAAGTACATTGACAATTCTAGCTATACTGCACAAGGCTGGGAATTATACTTCTAAAATTATAAATATAGTTGGATCCAGAAAAGAAATGCTCAATTACATTTGAACCAATGGATTACTCAATAGCACAATTGAAGACAGAATATCTATAATGTAAGTGATACATGTATGCCAGATATTAAGCTTGTTTGATTGCTACTAGTTACATTGCTTTATATTTAACAAGCATTATTGGCTAGAAACATATCAATATAGCATTAATATTTATCCATACTTAGCTTTATATAAATTTTTCCTGTTTCTCAAGAGTATAGTCCACTATTTTTCATAGATAATAAATATATTTTATTTGCTTTCTCACAAAATTCTTTATTTAAAAATCTCATTCTATTCCATAAATATATTCAATTTCTTTGTGCCAACTGGAAAATAAATATGCATTAAAATAAGCTAGTAGTTAATGAATCATGCCCCCTTTGTTTTTTATTTTAGTATAATTGTGTAATGACATAATCTTGTACATAGCTAATAGTGACAGAAAAAGTTGTAATGTGGTTGGTTCCTACTTTAATACTG